GGCAAAGTCACTTTCTTTTTTGTATACTGTAGAATGTCTGCAGACTCTTTCATGAAGTAGGAACCCTGAAGGATTGTCTTACCTTTTAAAGTCAAATTTAGCAGTCTTTTTTTGTGGGTCCTGCATGTCTGGTTCAAACAGTATACCGTCAAGCAGTCCAGGCAAGAGCAGTTTCTTGCCCAAATGGCTAGCAAACTCCATAAGGAGCCTCTTTGATGCCCATTATCCTCTTGAAGTAATTGGTGCTGCCAGAAGCAGATCTGTCTCATTGTTGTGAAAAGTCTTAAGTTAACAAATGCTTTAAATGCTATATTCTGTACGTCTTTGAAAGGCTTGAAGAATGCCTATCCATCTGAAATATATCTCTGTACATCTAGAAAACCTAACTAACGTGCCTACAGTTTGACTATTAGAGATAACTATCTAGAAATTTGTATTTTTTATTTATACATTACATTTTAAATGAGGTGTATAAACACTATACCTTAAACAAGAGTAGAAATACATATACACAGTGTAACAAAAAATTGACCTTAAATACATATCAGTAGACCAAGATCCATGGAAAACATTTATCTCTATATCATATACCCCCCCCTTTTTTTAAAAAAAGAAATTGACTGTGACCATTAATCACTTATAATCAACCCCCTTTAAATGAAAACAAACATTTATAAATGATCATTTTGGGAATTTGGGAGTAGTTTTCTCCAAACTTCTTCCTGTTCTTTGTTGGGCAAAGTAATTTTGGGGTTCAGAGGCCTTTTAGGGGCTCTTCTTTCATCAAACCACATTAGCCGGGAAGGAAACCACAGGTTCTCATCCTCTGTGGAAACAAAATCAGGACTTCTTTTCCAAAGTAACATATCCTTTGACTCAAATTTTGAAGAGAAGATACCTTTAAAATATATATGTTGGTTTAGCTTAGCAGCCCCCAGATCAAATGTCTCTTTGCAATCAAAAAATTCAAGGAAAATACAATAATGTGCATAATTCAGACTCTCTGTGTAATTTCCATCTTAGTGTGGCTTATTTTTCTTTACTCCTTCAATCTATAACTGTCTGTACTCTTTGATATTACTTTTACTGTCTCTTTAAAGATTTTCCTTCTTTTTATAACTGTCTATACTTTTACCTCTCTCTCCCAAGCCTACATACATTTTTAAACACACTGTGTCTTGTTTAGAGGTCTTTTATGTCTGAATCCACCCTACTGTGTATCTTAAGTTCTTTTCTGACCAGAAGAACCTTTTTTAAAATGCTAAGTGGGTGTAACAGGACCAACTCCATGGCCTTGCCTGTTTGTTCTGCCCAGTCCAGCATGGCAGGGGTATGTTCACCACCTTTGTGGGTCATGCTCACCACCCCAGCTCCAGGAACACAGCGGGTTTATGTCACTATTAAGCAACTAATAGCACGCTGCTCACAAACCCCATTTAAGTGCAGGACCTTCCAAAAAAGTCAGAGTTCAAGCTACCAGCACAAAACAGAAAGCCGCCATTTCTTAAAGAAGCAGGGCCTCTGCTTGGAGCCAACAAAGAGAGTCTATCTGGAAAACAAATGCGGCTACCAAGAAGCTGTGCTTTACTCTGTTCTTTGCGTCTAAAATTTGTGGCTACCAAGAAGCTGTGTTTTACTCTGTTCTTTGTGTCTAGAATTTCTTTTCAAGCTTTCTCAGTTTTTATGTGGATGTAGTGATTGCACATTGGGAGCCTGCTTGTTCATTTCCCAACTGCTCAGACCCAAATAATCACACAGAAACTATATTAATTACAACACTCTTCAGCCAATGACTCAGTCATATTTCTAGCTAGTCTAACATCTTGAATTAACCCATTTCTTTTCATGTGTATCACCATGAGGTTGTGATAAGGTACGGTTCCAGTGGGTGTCTTTCTCCTTTGGCAGCTACATGGCGTCTCCCTGACTCTGCCTGCTCTCTCTATATATCTCTATTTGGATTTCTCCCCTGGCTTCGCTCTGCCAAGCCATTGGCCGAAACAGCTTTATTCATTAACCAATGCTAATAAAACATATTCACAGCATACCGAGGGGAATCCCACATCAGAATAGGGACTGGAAAACAGGGTCTCTGCTGGTGGGAGGGCTGCAGAAAAAAGAGGAAGGCATAGAGAAAAACCTCACTTCTGCCTTGCAAAATGCCATGACTCCGACTAATAACCGGGTCACACTGCAGCTCTATGGCTCATCTACTCTTTATCCATTCTCCTTGGGGCAGCCAGGGTGGGCTTTGCCTGCCCCACATCTCCCTGTGTAAACATTGCCCTGTTTGTCCCCTCCAAACTCATGCTGTACAGTCCCCATCAGGAAGCTTAAGAAGGTAAAAACTTAACCTAACTATAGTGTTTAGAGATGGGACCTTCAGGGAATCAGGATTAGAAAAGGTTAACCAGGGGAGCTGGAGAGATGGCTCAGAGGTTAAGAGCACTGACTGCTCTTCCAGAGGTCCTGAGTTCAATTCCCAGTAACCACATGGTGGCTCACAACCACCTGTAATGAGATCTGGTGCCTTCTTCTGGTGTGCAGGCATACATGGAGGCTGAATACTGTCTACATAATAAAGAAAAGAAAAGGTTAACCAGGTTGGTGGGGGGCAGGGTGGCACGGCCATGTTCTGTCTCCAGCCCATGGTAATCAGGCTCTTCCTGCCTCAGTTGCTGACAATCTGAACAACTGCTTTCATCAGGGAAGGTGGGCACTGGGGGTAGGGACAAAGAAGGCAAATCTAGAGGCACTAAAGGCATAATCACGGTTTTCAGCATCAGTTGCAGGGGGTCCATGAAGAACTTGGAGACCTCAAAGTGATGGTCCTGAGCTGTTGGCTGAGGTAGGGGCTGTTGGGATATGGTGGGGGAGGGGGAGAGGCTCACAAAGAGATGTCCAGCTGCTCTTCAATGTTTAAACTTGTTTGTAGCTATTTATGATTATGTCTGTGCGTGTGTAAGACAGTGTGTGTTTGGGTGTATAAGGGAGTGTGAGATTGCGTGTGCGCGCGCGCGCGCGCGCGTGTGTGTGTGTGTGTGTGTGTGTGTGTGTGTGTGTGTGTACGTGTATGCAGAATAGGGCACAAGGCTGGGGCAAGGTGTGTGTTGATAAGGTGTGGGAGGGTCTGTTTAGCGTGCTGAGTGGGTGTGTGCACGCTCACTAATGGAAAAGCGGTGTGGATGTGAGTGTATTTGCATGCCCAGTACCCAGGGGTGATTCTGTCGTACCCGTACCCCTGCTGTCTCTGGGAGATGGCTGGAGAAAAGCCTGAGAACTGCGGACTGCCTCCCAGCATGCCATAGAACAGTGGTTCCCCCGTGACCCTGTAGCCCCACTTCCAGCACCAGACTACTAGGGTCTTAGAACCGACAGAGAACAAAATGCGAAAAGTGAAACAGTTGAGTTGGGACAGCAGCGAGGAAGCTGTAGAAACCATTATTCCTAGCGTGGGGGCACACACTATTACCACAATTTCTTTTCACCGAGTTGTTCAAGCAAGACTGCTAGTAAGACAAGCGTTGCATGTGGGAATCCTAGCTGTTAATTTTTAGACGTGTGTGTATACGTGGGAGTGGGTGAAGGGTGTGAAACTGGAAAGGGGGCCAGGGGAGATTTTAAGGAAGTGAAGAAAAATGAGTAATAGAATTCACGTGACATGAAGGTGGCAAAGGGACCACTGGGAGTGGGACGGTAGAGGGGACTAGGGATGGGGAGGGACGGAGTGGGATAGGATCAACCAGACTGCACATAAATCACCATTACTTTCTATGCTGACTCAAAAGAAACTAAGAAAAGAATGTCTCCTGGCTGAGCCCGGCAATTTGTTGCAGGCATATTCCAGGTGCCTGGAAATGAGACCTGCTCCTTTGAAGAGGGATTTCTCAGAGCTCATAGTGGGTTGATTACAACCCCTGTGTGCATGAGGGGTGGCAAAATCAACGGAGAAAGCACAGGAACCAGGACAGAGGAGATTGCTCTGGCACACGCTGGTCCACGAGGATGGTGGCTGTTGCGAATTAGCTTGTTATGGGAAACAACCAGGTCAGCTTAAGGATAACAATTATATTTTTAATGGTTATAATGGGAGTCCGACTTCCTCCGTGTTGTGCAGAGAGGGCTCGCACCCGGTCTGTCCCAGTTTTCTTCCTGGGTTCCAGGTAGCCATGCCTTAACTAGGCGTGATTGGTTAACAGAGCTTCCCCATCATCTCCCCCTTTTGTTTAAACAAGATCAATCCAAACCCAACACAACTATATACAACAGGAACAGATACCAAATATAAAATTACAAACAATATAAACAATATTAAGCAAAGAACACATAATAGAAGTTTTACTAAACATTCTATTTTAAGGAGTCTAAATCTTGCATTGGAATTAAGTTTGGCTAAATCATGAGGAAGGTAACTACAACTATCTAATCTTCAACCCCATCAAAGATCTGAGAAGGGAAACAATATTACTTGAGTGAGCAGGAAGTGCAATTAACTTCTAAAATGTTCAACAAACGACAGAGACAATATGCTTGAATTTAGAGAAGGATAGCTCCAAAGCCAGTTTTATATATATAAAATAAAATAATGGATTTTTTAAACCCCTAGATGACCTGTCTTCATGAGCCATATTCCGTTTTGCTAGTCATTGGAGGTGGTGACTCTGTGGAAGCCGTGCCACTGAGCCTGGGGGAAGTCAAGCTTCATAACACAGCTCCCTTTGAAAAGCATAATTTGTTCCTCACTGTGAGGGACACCACTTGTATTTCCTCCCTTTATTTTCAGCACCAGTACAATCGAGTTTGATACCCAGAGAAAAAAAATTACATTTGTAGATTTGCACAGATGAACACACACTTGCATCTCTCTTTCTGACATTCCTACTAAGGGATCTGAGGCTGGACAAACACCATGGGCAGAGGACTTCAGTCCAGAGTGTCCATGACACTAGAGGTCAATCCCAAACACACTAACACACTGTCCCCCCTCAGAAGTTACTTACTAGGTTGGCATTTAAAGGAGACCAGGAGGTATTTACTGCTTCCTGGACAAAGGTCAGGTCCAAAGACGCGGCTATTGACCAGGAGGTGGCAGGCCCGCTGATTCTGGCATTCATCCAGCACCTTCTGGAAGGAGGGGTAGAAAAGCAAAGGCTTGTAAACCGCACAGTGTCTGATGGACCCCAAACCTGGGCTGCTCTGTGCTCCGAGGACACAAGGTTCCCTGTCTGACCTGAGCTGTCTAGGAAGGAAGCCTCCGTGGTGGGTATGTGGTTCCCTGTAACTTTTAGAAGAAAGAACCCGGGCCAGAGAGCTTCAAGGGAGAGCTTCATGGGAGAGCTGGCTCAACCAGCTTCATGGGAGAGCTGGCTCAACCTGCCACCGTGGGCATCCCTCAGAGGCTCTAGGGTAGGTGAGTGATATCAAGTCACCTTTGATTGTTCAGCTGAAGGGCACTTCCAGCTTTAAAACTGAGAGAGCCATGATGGCCAGGAAATATGATCCTACCTCCTTACCTTTAGAAATGGCTCCACACAGGCCCTAGCGACTTCAAACACTCCAACTTTACCAAATAAAATACTTAAAGCTGATGCCCACCCTTGGTGAACTCAACGGCATGGGCACATGACTTTACTGCTGAGTGATTTTTTTTAAATAAAATTCTCTCTCTCTCTCTCTCTCTCTCTCTCTCTCTCTCTCTCTCTCTCT